TATATGAAGTCGATAGTCTCAACGACTGGCACATTTGTGAAGAGGAAGGTAACATCGAAAGAGACCAAATGCCTATCAGATACATTGAAATACTTAAATTTCTTGACAAACTGGAATGAATCAGAAACTATATACGTTTCGAAATGTTTCCGCAAGGGCTGCAACAGTTCACGTGTCCACTGTGCTAATTTGAAGTATGGTGAGTTTATCATTGAGAATGTAGGTCTTAACGACGCTCATGGTTTGTGCATTTTAATGCGTTTGTGTATTTTGACGTCTATTTTGAACACTGATAAATATCCTTTCAGTAAAAATCCATGCACATTTCACTGTCATCATGCATGTGTATCAGAAAATTATGAAGTCATCATGGGTGTGCAGAAGGAATATATGTGATGAAACTACTATTATCCTTACTTGATCATTGCATTGATGTAATGTTACTTAATGTTCTCACGGTGCAGGCCATTTTCGTGACGATGAGTAGGCTATGATAATGCACCGAGTTTAAAAATGTTCTATGCGCAGTAATATTTAAAGCTTTCTGCTTATGGTTGGAAATGATCATATAATTTTCAGTAGTATATGCGTCCTTTTATGAACCTCCGGTGGTGTTCAAATGACTAATTTCTCGTTAATACAAATTCACCAATTTGAATTTCTTCAAGGCTTGTTCAGTGACATACTGCACAAGTTAACAGGGGAAAACACTGAGCTGTTGAGTTTCAAATACCATGGGAGTAAGCTCTAATTGGATTCGCAGATTTTGTTACGTGCCTAATATGCAGTAGACGCAGTTGGGAGATGGAGTTAGGGGAAAAGGCACATCAGAATCAGCATTCATTTCAAAAGCCTGATGCTGTAAATTTATATATATATATATATTTATTTATTTTGTATATATATTGGAAACTCAATATTCAGAGAAGAGACGACTGATTTCACATATAGAATAATTCATGAGATATAGAGATGTTGGAAAGGTCTGGATAATAATAGGGTTCCATGAAGGGTGTGTGCATCTCTATATGCCATTAGTTGTTTTGCCACTGAACAATTAACTATGAGTTAATCAAAAATATTTTAATGGTTTTTCGAAATATAACTATTTCATGTTTTCACACCTCTGATTTAATTCCTTCACCGAATATAATTTCTTATTAGAAACCATTTACATAAACGATTCTACAGTTTGATAATAGATTCATTGAAGGGAGAAATGAAAATGATATGTATTATGCATGCTAATCTGCTATATTATCTACTCAGAAATGTTATCTATGATCGCATTGGGTTGCAAAGGAGACAAGGATGAGTTAGGCCTTGCTCTATGAAGTGCTCAAGTGTTGTTTTGAGCCATGTGACGGAGTATACGCTAACTAGCTGAATGTAAACAGTTGCCTCATAATTTCTGGTACTTGTTCAGTTTTTGCTTGTCAAATATTTTCTAGACATTCGGGAAATTACTTTACTCCATGGAATTGTTCTGCTGCAATTACAATGGGATATTTATCTCACACTGATGTAGCACTTATATGACATCCTGCTTACTGAATGTCTCTCCATTAAGTCGGTACTTCCAATATTTCACCTTTTCGAGAGGTATAACATTGAAAACACAAGGAAGGTGAATTCGCATTGCATTATAAGGAGACGGCGTTCATCTATTCGTGACACAAATCTAAATTCAGGCCTGAAATAAATTCACATTTAAACATTCAGTGAAGACATTGAGTTGAGAGAAAAAGTACATTTCTCTTCAGATAGTTCCTCAGACTCGTCTCTACATAGTTCTACATAAAAATGACACCACTAGTGTGATTGCTTAAGTCAATGAAAGTGACCAATTCCATGTGTATGGACGGTGAAATATAGTGAATATAAATATAGAATTCAAGGTCAGTTAATTCGTGGGATTTATCAACAGTTTATTACATAATCGAGACATATATAAAATAATGATAGCTAAAAAGAATAGGTTGACTCAGTGAAATCACATTAGGCACAAACGCATTAACAGAATAAGACAGAGTTGTAATCATAATAAAATAGTAGAGTAAAAGTGTTGTTATAAAAGGAGGCAAAAAAATCAATTTTTGAAACAATACATATTATGTGATTGGCCACAGCAATAAAAGAATCTGCGAGCACATACACATTTGATTTGTTCAAATGAAATCTGATTACTTCTGCAATATGTGATAGTCATACTAGTACAGCAGTTTGAATGCCTGGGTAGAAGACGATCAGTGACTTGCAAAGCTTCATTAAAGTCAACTTGATGTCCAGTAACCACGAGATGAGCTAGTATTGAACCACGTTAAGAATTCATCGGGCCTAGTTCTGGTCGTACGCCTAGTGTAATTACCTCCACTTGAGAAGTCAAACTGATCAATACACACAGAAAGAACTAAACAGGGCAGTTAGTCTTTATTTCTTGAACTGAGTATTGGTTGTTTGGCTATTGAATAAACAGTTTAGCTTAGCTGCTGTAAGGAGCCTTTCCAAGGACCTTCGTAGAAACTGTGTTGAAAATAAAATGCACACGAAGTATGTGTTGGCGTAGAGCTAGTGATAAGGATCTAACTGATAAGGAATATATTTTTCTTAACTAAATTTGTAGTTTTTTCAAAAACAAAAAGGTCAGACGGAATCGACCTCACATTAGGTGAATCAAAGTCTAGCCCACTTGAGGATGCTTTGAGTTTCTTTAGTTTCGTTATACCGCACACACAACCATCTGGAATCGGTTTCAGCTAAGGTAATAATAATAATACAAGTGAAAATTGCCGTGAGCTTGTGTCACACAGTATTGGCAATGCGGTATAAAAATCCTAGTTTTTTTTAAATATATTGAATATAATGTTCTCTTTACATGATATGGTAATGGGAAAACAAAGATTAAAGCAGTCGTAGAGATAAATTGGTGTTTGCAATTATGAGAGTAAAACAGAGAAGTAACAGGACCATAAATATAATAGAAATAATAAAAGTAAAACTTGAAAGTATATTAGGATGGATGGAGGAAATTGTTTATTTACTAGATGAAAAATGGTTACTTCATTCTTGCCTGACACTATTTTCATCACATAAAATACATGCCAAGTATGGTATCATAGACTTCTTATACTTAGACGTGCGAGCATACCGTTTTCTGAAGTTACTTCTTGTTCTACCTGAGGAGATGCAAGGTGAAAGCTGAGGGTAAAGCGGATGCTCCAAGTCAGACAAAATCCCTTTAGCAAATTTCTTGCATGAAGTCAAGTGCCTATCGACAATGACGTTAACTATGTGGTCCACTGGGACACCACTCACCCTACTGACAGTCTTCAGTATTCTACGAATTGTGACATAGTCTTTTTAAGCAAACCAGGAAAGAATAAGGGTGAGCAATAAAGAAGAAAAGGTAGATGCAAGAGTTTATGAACTGTAAGAGGAGGGGTTGAGTTATACCCGAGTGTCTTAGCTTCTTAATATAAAATGTCAGGCGGAATATTTTACTGGAGATTGCTAAGACATGGAAGTCCAGGAGAGATCAGAAGTGAGGATAAGTCCAAGATACTTAATTTCTGATTTGATTCCTATATCATTGTCGTCAATCTTACAACTGTCATGAGAACGATGACTTCTTTGAACTGTCTTTTACACCTTAAGCTGAAATTAACAGTTTGACATTTAGAAGGATTCAGTTTAAGGCTGTTAGACTAAGACAATTTACTGACTAAATCGCTAGCGCTCCCGGGTTCAGTCATGTGAGGAGTGTTTCGGTTGAGTTAGATCAATGGAACCCTAGATCTTTATTTGTGTGCAGAATTATTATTGGTAAATGCTCACATTTTGTCAGTAGTATAGTCATAACAACCTTCCTTATGATGACAGTTGGTAAACATTCGAACTATGCAATATATATGTAAACTAACCCACCATTAATTTATATCTAATATTTATCAGTAAGTAAACACGAGTATTGCATTTGCAACTTCTTATCACTTTCTTTATCTCAAGATAAAATTTGCTCATACTATAACACGTAGTAGATGGTGTATCACCATTAGACACATGAGTAAAATCGCTACATCCGTTATTAGTAAACGCAAAATACATCACTCCAGAATTTATTTCAGATATGATTCATTTTGACAACTGAACCAACAAAAGAGATAAACAGGTGAATGTTTTCCATGCATAAAGCACCATGCTGTTTCAAAAGAGGAGGACATGATTATTTTGTTGATGATGTGTCACCGTCCTGCCTTCTATAAACATCACAGCTATGGATATGAATAAATAAACACTCCCTGCCCAAGTAATCAGAGCTAACCACATCGATAGAGGGTCTTCGTTGTCTCATTGTGCACCGCTTTATACCTTGTCCAGTGAGATATAACACCTATCAAAGAGAAGCAAAATATGAAAACACCGGAAGTTATATGAATGACCCTTTCAGGGAGATTGCCGCAAACTTCAAAATGTGAAAATCACTGTCCTGAAGTTTTTGCACGTATATTGATTCGACTGACGGTCTTCCTGCCAAGAGATATTCACTTAATTCACATGACTTTCTCAAACTGAGGTATGATTCGGAAATCAACATATTTTCAACATTAGCAACAATATGTTGAGGTAATCAAATTATAGGATTACGTAATTCATGGCCAACTTGGTAATACATAAATGAAATAAGTTTATTCCAGTTTGTTAGATACAGGACACATGCACGAAGACGTCTGTTTATTGATGATGTGACTAAACAAGAGTGGGAAGAAATCGAAATTCCTAAATAACAAAAAAGTATACAGTCAACCAAGGTTAAGAGAAGTGTTTTCATAGTAGAAAGAGAAGTCACACCTCCGCACACATGCAACATAATGCATCACTGGATGCGGAGGCGTGTATTGATGATATATCCGTGTGATAACAATGGACAATTACTCATGGCATAAAGAATATATAACATGCTAAGCCCGATGAATATTCACAAAATTCACCATCTGACTTACTAGGAGTACAGCGATAGCCAAAATTATGCCGGACAGAATAACTGCAGTTACCTGTAAGTAAGAGATAGAAAGTGATATGGACAAAGAGTAAATTAGCGATTTGTCTTTTATATTATACGAGTACTTTTATTTTCTTCTTTCCTACTCTTTATCTGTGTTCCATATTATCCACAGCTTGACGGCATAATATGTGTAGTGATTGGTGGTTATTGTCACGCCAGCTATCGTCAGTAGCCCCTTCAATAAATCAATCACTAAGACTATACAATGTACAGGTGGGCTGTTAGTAATTTGATGAGATTGTTAGAATATTTAGAATTCAATCTTTATCATAGATTTGACAAATATGATATCACTTGCTGAAATACATAAGCTAAACACTTAACCCACTTGATTGTCGTACTAAGATCTAACCGCCAGCTGCTGGGCACCGCATGATTAGTCGGATGCCCAATATCCAGGATCGATCTCTTCTAGTTCTCACTTGACAGGGTGAAAAGTCAGGAGAGCCAGCTTGATACTCATCTGAAGCAGACACCATACTTTTGTTATATTCTGACTCCCCATCGCTACAACTCCACCTAAAGACCTTCAACACAATGCGAACAATTTACACTATGACGATAACTTTCTTGGTCTTAACGCTATCAGAACAAACTTTGTGTCATGGCACGACCTGCAGTAACATTCAGCGCAAACAGTGTAGCTCACAGTGTCACCATGATATGCAAAATAGGCTACCAGGTCAAGTTGACAGCAATCGGTCACAATTTAAATTACTGAAATGCAATAGATGGTTGATGCAATAAGAGATTTCATCAGTTTTTCACTTGTATAGTTCGTGTATATGGAAATGTTATGTGTCGCTAGCAATTGAGGAAAATTTGAAAGTGATACGTAAATTCATATATAACTCATGAATCTTGAACTGTACAGGCATGGATGAGATTGCAAAAAAGTGAAATGAAATTAACTGTGATGCAACACGGAAGCTCAAAATGAAGATATAAGAGGCATAGAAGAAATATAAATCATTCAATTCGGAGCTTCCACTTATAGTTGATATGTCGTTTGATAACTGAGTGAAATTTGACTAATGGACAGTTCTGCTACAATACAGTGGCGTGTTCTACGTTGTTGACAAATGTTCGAATAGAATGAATCGCAGAACGTACGACCAGTTACGCAAGAAATAGTAATTTATCGACACTATATAAACCACATGGGACAATTACATGTCAAGTTACTGATTCAAAGAATAACACACTACTTACTTCACGCCCGGTAATTCTGAAAGCAATTAATACAGTGATACCCAGAACTGTGATTCCACAGCGACGCCCAATAGTGTGATGCTCACTTTCGTACTCCGTTTCTCAGTTCTGTATCCAAACAACAGTGTCACCACAGCTAGGATGATTGTAATAGTCCATGGTGCAAAAATTGATAATCCCATGGATTTGGTGACAGCAGGTAATGCGAAAGACCATAATAAGACCTAAAACATGTAAAGATTAGATTGAGGCATGAAATCGTCAGTGAGTTTATCTTGACAAATTAACTTTAAGATATAAGTGTAAAATGTGGACAAGGTGCTATTGCGATACTCGTTATTAGTTGGTTTATTATTCGGATAGAAACATGATGGATTCTGTTGTCTTCTTACAGACTAGTAATAATTTGATCAGTGTGCATTTAGAAAGTAGATGGACCAATCTGAAACTATGAGGCATTTTGTGACAGAATCGACAGTACACGTATTTTCTTGAGGGACAACTGAAGCAAATTGAACACCCTTCATATCACAAGTTGATTACATCGCTTAAGTCCCCTCTTCAATATTCAACTAGGCACTGACTCAAACCAAGTTGAGCAGTTGGCGTATCTTGGGAAATGTAATGCCATTTTGCCCAAATATAACTGTAGTGGGGTGATAATCACACAGGTTCTAAAGCAAAAATATAAAACAATTTGCCTTTGAAATAACTCTCTGTCTCTCGCTGAAAGTTTGGAATATCCGCAACATGTTCTGCAATACTTATTGATAGGAAATTGCCTAACGCTCACATATCTTAGACTGGTGAACTGGATTGATCAACATATGTGAAACAAATCAAATATGTGACTAATTTGTGATTAGTAGAACTGTAACATCAAGTACAAATATGTGATTCAGTCGCTGATTTATAGCGATTATTTTGCCTAATTGTCAGGGGTTCGGAAGAAACAGAAATGCCTTGCCCAATCAAAGAAGGCAAACTCACCGAAAGTGAGATCAGTAATTCATTATATGGAAATTTCTCTCTAAGTTTCGTAATAACGAATAACAGTGACACGGGAACTGCACCGAGTACGCTGGAAAAGAAAAATAATAGAATTGGTTGAATAGAGAAAATCAAAAACATAATACATCGACTTTTCACAAAGATTTAAAAGCAGGTTTGATGGTGACTAGCGTTCAATCATCATATCATCGTTGTTTCAATCAACGCAAAGTTAGTTACAACTACTTTCGGTTATAAGAGTTCGTGGAGTGATTATAGAGCACATTCTGACACACCATTGAAACAAAAATTAAAGTCAAGTAACTGTTGTCTAGCTTAAAATAATTTTGTAGATCCGGTTGGGCGATTCCATTTGACCGTAGCTCTCATTTTATATCCACCATATAACGTATAACGTATTTATCCACGAACACTGACGAAGCATCCTTTATAAAGTCAACAGTGGCCAAAAACTGTCTCAACTTTAATTCAACAAATAGTAATTGATACCGTGATACACGAAGTGTCTATCATGTGTGAGCGACCACCACTTGATTCAGAGGTCAAAGGAAGCACCGGTTATTACTAAAAATACAGTTGCATCTTGCTAACGAGTCCGAAAAAAGAGAAATCCGAGTCCTAGATTCCACCGTCAGTCAGTATTATTCAGAAGCGCAATCAGAATAATCCTCATGAAACTATCCGAAAACTATTATTAAACAATCACAAAGAAACAAATGTTATAATTGACATCAAATAACTCACAGAAAAACCAGTGGGATGTAAAAAGCGCTGTACAAATGCTGAAGCGTTCCACTAAAATCAACAGTGTGTAGATAAAGAATTACAATACAGACTTACAAATATGCTACACAGGTCGTAGTGATCATTGTCATCAAATGCATTAAACACGTAAAAGTGATGTACTTGATTTGATAACATGTTACACTATAAATACATAAATACGCTTACCTTTCGAAGACAGGTTACTGCAGCGGTAAATGGGAGGTTTGTATCCTATGAATAAAGCAGTGCAGATGTTTCAACAAACCTTCAGTTTTTGGTTCATGTTTACTTCCTGCATAGTCCAAAAATGAGCTCTCTGTCTAATGAATAATCGAAATATCTAAACTATTTGAATGCAAATTGTGAAAGATAAGTGTTTGTGACACTAGGTAGATTGCACGGAATTCATTTTCGAATTAAAGATGAGCACTGATTTCAAGGATGATATCTCAGGCTATTACAGCTCACAAATTCTGGAAGATAGTAGAATCCAGCGGTGCAATCACCTTTCTATTTCGGTTTATAGTGAACCCCTTAAATTGTTTTCAATGGATTCAAATGCTCTTCAACAAGTTGCTTTGAAGACTAATTCTACTGGTCCAGCTCAGAATGTTCACAGATGACTACCAAATGTAGATGACTTGACTGTGTTTTGAAGAACTATTAGCATGCGTACTCTAAAAAGATTGTTTAACGTAATCCTTAATCCCGTCTTTGCTTATTCTTAGACTTCCTAAGTATTTTTGCATGTCTAAATGAGAAATCCAACGTGAACAATTTTGGCACTGAAGGTATGATATATCCTTAGACTGGGCTGCTTCTCAGTGGAAATGTTATTACCATCATTACGCCGAAGAATAACACCACTCATGAATTTCTTGAGCGTCTTGGCGAAAGTGCTGTTTGGTTTGTTACGTTTGGTTCATGGCGTGTAACCTTACATACTCTCAGCTTTATTACACATACTGACCGAAACGATCTTTTCATACCTTACTCTTCATCATCCATTCACTCACTTTCAAGTGATAACCGGTTCCATAATATTTCATCATCGCTATTTCGGTGTCCAGAATCACCTATTATACAAATCTCAGGATGAATAGCAATCACTCAATCAACGGTAGATTCTAAGCTATGGGTATTGGCAATAATCTGTGTAATCCATTCTTCATTATATTTCCTTGTGAGCATATCAATGCTTCAATATATTCCCGCTGTATCTTTAAACACCTGACTGTTTCTGTATTCGGGGTAAGTTGACCTCCATCAGAGTTGTAGAAGGAAACACTTTTGTCAACCACGTAAGTGTCAATGAGTTACATGAATCGAAGTGGAATCTGGTCAACATGTTGTTCTGAAAATCCAGTTCGGTTATTATTTTCAGCATCGTTATGATCAACTGGAATTGTTATTCCATTGCACATTTTATGTTACCAGGCAGTGTCTTAAAAATCACAAACATCAACTGACAAATATTCCACGATAAATTATCAGCAAAACTGTTGAAATTTATCGATAGCTAAACTCACCTAACTCTAAATTGATTTCAGTGCTGTTAACACCTTCAATTCACTCACTTATATGCTTCAGTGTGCATCAGAACAGTGTATATGCGTGGTGTGTAGCTGCATTTATTGTACTTTGAACAACGTTTTAACTTCCATCAGTATATTGATCTCTGTGAATATATTCTGGCCTTGTGTGGTTGGTGAATGGTTGTTGTTGTTATACTTCAAATATATATTTCAAATGAATACAGAATGAATAACTCTAATCAAATTTTCAATTCACCACCTAAGTACTCTGTTCCTTATCTATCCCTAGTGATCATCTGTTACTCAGAATACACTAAATTGATCCAAGTTTTGAGTGAAACATAGGCCTTCAGCAGTACATCACCGTTTTGCTTTGTGCACTGCAGTATATTCAAGTGACTGTAGCTCTTACCTCCTCGTCCATCGAACACTTGACTCATTTTTTCCCATTTGGCTTCCACTGGGA